TCACTGAACCAAAACAATTCTTAAAAACAAAAGGTAATACACAAGAGACTTGGAAGCCAAACAACGTTATTAAAAGCTACCTAATGAAGAAGGAGGAATTTGTTAAAAAATGTCCCACCCACAATTAAGGAAAGAAATAAAGAGCTGCTGGTTTAGTTCTTTGTTAAACCCAGAGGAAAGATGTCGGGAAGGGCTAGAGCTTGTGTTAAATGTAGGCTTCATGGAAATCGAGTTTATTGAAAGGACAAAAAGAGTTGATTATAGGGTGAAAGTGAAATAGATAGCTATAGTAACTAACTTTATAACTGTTACGAGTGCTGCTTGAAATAATGATTTGGTAACTAATGTCCCATGCTCAAAAGGTACGTATCTCACAAACATTTCCGAAATGATTAATAAAATTTATTGTGTTTTATTTTGAGCTTCAAGCAAAGGATAAATATAAAACGTCGCCGCTGGTTGTTGTCAAGTCGCTTTTTTATATTGACTAGTCAAATAACTCAGCTTTGAGCGATAGAATTCGTTCGAAACCACGTTGTTTATAGATTTTTGCGGGTCATTTCAGTGCGTCTTGTCTTGATATTTAGTTTAGGCTCTTATAATAAACTCGTTAGAAAACACGTTCATTTGCGTACTGGGTTTGATATTGTTACAGTATTTTCAATTTAGCCTTACAATGTCTTCTATCTTAATTTTGCTGCGGCGCAGAGAATAAAGATTCCAAACGCGTTTCGTCTTGTGTGGTTATTTTAGCTTTAGATTTGTCTTGTGTTTTGATTCTACAGCAGCGCAAATAAATAAAGATTCGTTAAACGCGTTTCCTTGCGTATTGTGTGGTTATTTTAGCTTTAGATGTGTCTTTTGTCTTGATTGTACATGAAATAAAGATGGCAGTTGTCAAGTCTCCTGTGTATTGCCTTATGTTTTCATGAACTGTGTTCTGGTTCAGTAATATCTACTATTAGTCAATAAATAGACACTAATATTTACTGTTTATTTTGATCATATTTCACGGTGCAAGTGTTATGACTCTAATCGCAATGAAAAAAGGCTAATTTTTCCAACAAAACATTTAAGGGAAATTGCCGAGCAAGCCGTTAAAAAAAAATTCAAAGTTATGCTTGAAAAGTACCGACTGAACAAGTCACGCGCGAGTGCTGGAATACCCGAAAGTTTGACAAACTAAAAACTTTCACACAATGAATTGSAAATATTCGCTTTCAGCGATTTTACTCTGGAAMTGGGTATCGTTTTTGGCTATTTTACTCTGGAACAGGGTATCAATTTCAACGAATTTTCTCTGGAACAGGGTCAGGGTTGAATTCCGGAATCATTGATGCTGGATAAAAATTCATGGGGTAAAAATTCGGTGTACACGCAAGCTAGTGCAGGATTTTACTCTGGAACAGAGCATCGTTTTCAGCGATTTTACTCTGGAACAGGATCAGGGTTTTGAGGTCCCAACGGCACACCCCCACCCATGTTTCGGGGGAGTACCCCCCCCCCCCCCCCTCCCCCGGGATATTCTCACTGCTTAAAAGCATGTAAAAGTGCTCAAATAAATACAAATAAAAGCTAATTCGACAGGTTTAGGTTTATTTATTTAAAATATCATTTTATCAAGCTGACATGAAGAGACTAAGACTACATTTTCTCAACAGATCGACATTGGTCTCGAAATTGCCGAAAAATTCAAATCTCAACATCTTCCAGCAGTCATTTGATAAAAGCTCAACTTACAAAAAAACTAATTTCCATTGAAATTTATCCTTGAAAGTCTTTTMTGATTGAATTTTGTCGGTCGAAAACTTCGCAAAAACAGGTGGCGAGAATACTCCAGATCGTGATCTTATTTGCGCAGCCTTAACCTCGAGAGCATGTAACATATTCTTTTATTCAGCAGAGATCCTATTGTAATGCAAACACTCTGCGTACAAAGAAGACAATAAAAATTTATGTTTGATTGAAGCTAAGYTTGCACAAAAGAGAATTCGAAACTGGAGTAATCAGCAACTAGTGTTGTGTGACAAGATGACGTAGCCCAGTTGTCAGTAGAAAGTCTCTCAGCCAATCAGAAATCACGCTTACGACACGGCTAAAGTACAGTACGACGCGAGCGCCGTATTTACCCAATCAACGATCGAACTTACGGTACAGCTTACGGTACCGAAACGCGCGATACGACAAGTGTCGTATTCATCCAATCAACAATCGAACTTACGGTTCGGCAAACTACGGTACATACAAATCAATCCAATCAGGTGTGGGCAGAAAAAATGCCAACAAATCAGAATCCATGAATATGATACAGTTACGGTACTGTCAGGATTTGTCATCACCGTTTCCCACTCATACGAAATCGCCTCTATTACAAGGTGTTGTTATGCCTAATTTGCCAGTTCATTAATTTTTACTCAGAAACCTATTCGGCTGGATCCCGTGCTTCGAAGTCCGGTCGACGACAACCTTTTGTCAATCGACTACACCTAATTGAAAAAACGTAGTCGTGTTCGAAAAGGTCACATCATAGAAGCTAAGACCGTTCAATGGATTTTGAGTACCACTAAATTGGGATTACATTTGCATATACGGTGTTCAACATGGTGCACCGTAAAGCAAGTARAGCCAGTAAGATTAACAGCATGCTAGTCTTATATGCTGGAGAGCTGTTTGTATGAAATTAGCCAAGTTGTTTGTCTTCCCAAGTACCTTTTCGGTCTTAGCTTCTATGATTAGACCTTTTTGGACCCGACAACGTTTCTTCAATTAGGTGTATATTCACGACTTTCAATACCCAGGTTCATTGACCACAAACAAAACATCGAACCGAGGCGTCAAGGAACCTTGAGCATGAAAGAAAAGATTTATGCTCAGTTTTCCTTGACGCCTCGGTACAATGCTGTTCGTGTCCAATGAACCTGGGTATGGAATGTCATGAATAGACTCGTAGCTCGTAGCTTTGACTATGTAAATATCAACATTGTTTACAAACATAAATTAACGTAAAAAAATAGTAAAAAAATTGCAAAATCATGCTCCAAAGCTTTTTACCTGAAATAAGTAATCAACATTGAATACATCTGAGGAGAGGCTTTCCTTATTCACCTCACCACCACTTGAAGTTATCTCACTTTAAGCCATCTTTGAATACCACGTGCAGTGCTCGCATACGTGGTTGAATCCACCCTTTTAATAAGTCCCGATGTATAGAGTTCTCCGCACTTGACGTCAAATTTATTCTTTTTGAAATTTTTAAAATTCTAAAGGAATTCAAAAGAATAAATTTGACGTCAAGTGCAGAGAACACAATACCTCGGGACTTGTTAAAAGGGTGTATAGAATGGTTTTTAACGCCAATTTCAAGATTGGCGATCACCCATTTTTATCGCCCATTTCATCTGATTTTCAAAATAGAGCTACAATTATAAAAAAAATGATGTCCCCTATGGGCCATCGTACTACAATTTACAAGTAAGTGTATGAAGTCTTTTTTTATTAATAAACACTAATAATCTTTTTATTGTACAGTCAGTGGTGAATGATGCGTATATCAAACTTATTAATGTGACGAGTTATTCACCGTGATTATGTCACGAAAACTTCTCTTGTCACGTCACATATAAACAGTGTTAAGCGTTTTTAAACATTTCGTCTTTGCATGAAACACTATCCTTTTTAAGTACAAACTTTTTCTTCTTATACTATATAAGATTGAGCATTAGCTGTCTATTTGTAATAGATTCTTGCGTGACACAAGAACGCGTGACTTTGTAACGCATGCTTRTATATCTTTATCTAAATAAGTTATAGAATCACAGTTGTAATTATATTAATCATTTTGTTGAATAGTTCTGTGTGCCAGCTTTGTATTTCTAAGCCAAGAGTTTTTTTAAATGCCTTGTTAAAAAGCTTCTTCAAAATGTTGGCTTGAGTGAAACAGCGTGACACTAAATATGTAACGCATTTCACAATTGCCGGTACGTCATATCCTGAAACCGAAAAAATAGGGTCAGCTCGCAGCGCCAAAGAACATTGCTGGTAATTGGTTGGCTCAACACAGCGTGACTCAGGCATAAACAATAGAGCCTATTGTTCTAGTCAGCCAATCACAATGACTTTTATTTAGAGCTGCGAGACCTCTGAAAAAATACAATGTAATAAACTACAAAATAAACAACAGCCGGAGGGGAGGGACTCTCCTATATTCGCTATACAGGGACGTGCCACCAATCAGGGTATCGTTTTCAGCGATTTTACTCTGGAACAGTGTCAGTTGGGTCAGGGTTTTGAGGTCCCAGCGGTACACCTCCACCCAAGTTTGGGGGAATACCAAGTTTGAGGCGAACAGGAATATACATAGGGATGAAAACATTGATCGCAATAATCGCACATCTTCTTCGATTTTCACTTGTGCTTAATTTTATTTTAACGTGAAATCTTTTCTGATTAGATAGCTGGCAGGATGATTTATAGTTTTGTTTTGTTGTCAATAAACGGAAATTAAAAAGTCGTTTTTCTCATTTCATATTCAAACACCCACAGTTGCAGCATTAGCAACAGCTAGGAGGAGCCGACGGGTTCTTGGGAGAAATATATCTGTTCTAATGTCCCRGCCATCTGTAAGTCACAAATGATGGTTTTCAGCGAGAAATTCAGGAAAAAAGAACTCTCCAGGCAAGGAGTACTTTCTGAGAATTTTTGCCAGGAAAARAATACTAAAAAGATATAAGCCGTTTTTGGCCGTATATAATGTAGCTYAAAATCCMTTTCCCAAGAAAAACTTCTTACAAGAACAGTTATYWRMARAMMAAMCCCSKYSGSCYTSGSYYCYTYYKRA